ATAATGTATAATTATATATTATTATATTGAGTTAATAAATAAAACTGAGCCAACTTTATATAATTTTATTTAGTAAATTAAAAAAAAAAAATTTATAATCTATTATTAAATAATTTTTTTAAGATTTTTTTTATATTTTTTTTTTTTATATTTCTTAATTAAAATTAAAAATTTTTTATCTATATTTTATTTTTTATTATTAATTTTATATAATTAGTTTCTATATATTTTTATTTTTTAAACAATTTCTAATATTTTTTTACTATTTGTTATTATTTAATATTTTTTTAACTAGTTATATTGATCAGGTTTTATTGATGAAATATATAGATTATTTTATAAGAACAATTTTTATATCTTTTAGTCTATACTATCCTATTTAATTTAAACTACCTAATTTTATCTATCAAAGATATTATCTTATTAGTTGTCCTATTATTCTCAGGCCATCTAGTGTTTTAAGGATCCATCAGAAGACTTATTATTATATTTAGGAAACTATTTTTGAGATGTGTTCACTTTATAGGTATTTGTCTTATATGGGATATATTCAGATTTTAATTTGATATACTTGTTATATTTAGTTCTTAAAGACTAGTTATCTATTAATATTCTTAGTCTTTTTATGGTCTCAAGTAGATTTTTTGGCAACTGCTAATGAGCTATATCAATAATTTAAGTTTTCCAGTAACTATTTATAAACACTTTTTAAATATGACCTATAGAATTTTTTTTAATCAAATAAGACCATGGGTCTCTTACAAATATGTTTGTTCTTACAGTTTTCATAATACCTATTTAACTTTATTAAGTTGTTTAACACTTATAGAGTCATATTTTTTAATAATCATTGATAATTAATGATATTCAAATCTCTAATATCATCTTACTTTTATATTTACAGCTTATATAGTAACCAAAGTCATTTAGTCTTCTATAAGAATATTTTTTGAGAAGAGGTAGATTTTTATATAAAATCAATAGAATTATAAGTTACTTATTGTTTTTCTTAAATATTTTTTTATATATTCAGCAAAATATTGTAACTTCTTTTTTTAGTACTAAAATTAATTAGAATTTGTGTCATATATTTTATTATATTGTAGTTGAATAGTGAAATTCTATAAATTATATATATCAGATGTGTATATGGCTGATAAGCATATATCTTATACAATATAATCTATATTATAGAAATTATTCTTAAGTAAGATTAAACTGGTAATTCATGAATGGTAACCTGGAAGTATATTCTTGTACTATTGATCCACAAATCTTACTAAATATTAATTATTTTAAAAATTTTTTTAATATTTTCTTATTTTTAAATAAAGTTTTTTAATTATTTTTTTTAATAATAAATTTAATATTATATAAAACTTTAAGATATTATTACTAAAATTATTATAACAATTGTAAAAATTATTATCAATATTTTTTTAATTTTATAATTATTTTTTATATTAATATAAAAAAAATATTTATTTTATTTTATTAAATTAAAAATTTTTATAAAAATATCTTTTTATAAAAAAATAAAATCAAAAACTTTTACTATTTAAAATATAATTAACTAATATTATAAAGTTTACTTAAAATATTAATTATTTCAAATTATTAATATTTTAAATTTATTATTAATAATAAATTCTATTATAAACCTGGTTTAATTTTAATTAAAAAATATCAATATATATTTTATCTAATTTTATATTTTAGTAAAAAAAAGTTATAATAGATAAAAATTTTTAAATATTATTTAAGTATAATTCTATAGTATATGAGTATTTTATTTGTAAAAGAATAGTAAATATAAGTTATTTAATATTTGACATTATAGTTCAATTAAAAGTAAATAAAAAATCATAGATTATCAAGAGCAAAAATTGCATAACAGTTCATTAATATCTTCAATACTAGTAAAGAACAAACTAAATTTGATAAATCTTGCAATTTTATAAGTGTAAATCTTAAATATACAAAAAAAAAAAGATTTTAAAATAAATACTATAAATTACTTTAAATAAAAAAGGTACTATATACTCATCTTATCAAAGATAATCTTTAAACTTAGAAATACTATTGTTCAAATTTAGTGTTACCTGTTTGTGTGTACAACAGCCATAATTTAAACCAAATAAAGTAAATTTGTTTCACTACTTGATGTAACTTTGTTACTCAAAGTATACATATGATTACTTTGGACAAAAGGATAATCATAAGTCGTAATATTTTCCTTATTAATTTTAAAAGGTAAATGCAACAGTATGTCAATGAAAAGTGCAATGGGAAGATAAAAAATAATTGTTGGCTTAATTTTTTAAAATTTAGCAAAAAATGCAACAAAAATATGATGACTTTATATAACTGATATTAAATAACGAAGTAAATTATACAGCGCACAATGTACTTCAAGTTTGTCATCGCTTTGTAGATACGTTGAAAAAGAAGAATATAGTATTCGAGTACTGTCAAAAATCAAATAAGATGAGCGATACATATGGTTTGTCTAGTGGTTTCCATGGAATTGGGTTGGAAAGGATGAGCGTGGGGCATTCTAATATCATCAAAAATCGGCTGATATGGTGATGTAATTTGTAAAGTTGGCTGAAGTAAGTCATTTAATATTATCAAAAATCTATTCTGAAATACGAGTAGTTAATTATTTTTTATAAGAATTAATTAGAGCGTAAAATATTAGACATAACGAATTCGGATATTATAAAAAATTATATGGAATATGTTACGTATGACGTATAAAATTGGCTAAAGTTATTAGAAAGGAGTTGAAGTTGAGAAGAATAAACATAAGGCATTCAGGTGATTGATCCAGTGATATGTATCAAGCCGCAAATTGTTATGTCCATATACTGTAATTAAAGTTGAGCATAGAGCATTAAATATTATAAAAATCAGTTAATATGAGTCAATATACCAGGGCATGGTTGCTACTTCTACTTCTTACTGAAGTGCGATTGAAGTTAAAAGAAATTTACAAATGACTATTCATTGGTATATATAGAAAAATTTATTATTAGATAAGTACCATTATTGCTAAATTAGCAGTCTTACAATAATTAAAAAATTTAATAATTTAATATTTGCAGCTACAAATAATCGGGCATATATAAATCTTGATATCGAAGAAGAGCTAAAGAAATGCTTATTGAAAAGAGATATTCGTTATCCTGGATTTCGCATTATGAATTTGAAGATATTTAGAGATGAGACAAGGAGGTTCTAAATTATGTTTTTTGCTAAATGGTGGACAAATTATGTCGCATTTAAATTGCTTCACAGATCAGGAAATTACAACATAAATTCAATGAATAAGTATTTTATTGAAATATAATAACAATTCGTGCGTTCAATGTTCTAATTTATATACAGTATAACATAATTATCATTTTTATTAAAGGTACATCTTGATGTTTCCTACAAAAATAACATACTCATGATATGCTATTAGTATCAAAGGATAATTATTCGGACGATTATGTTCTTGTTAGGTATCACGCACCAAATAGACCTTCGCGTAAAGATTTTATTAAATGGTAACAAAATAAATTAATAACTCCTTCGCAAATATTTATTCACCGAGATTACTTAGCAATAATGTACTGTACTTCTGTGATTATTAGTGTGTTGTAGAATCAGATATCTACTCATTTGGGATAGTTACAGTATGTGATTTCTTCATGATTTTAACTTTTCAGCAACAAACCCAGGAGACATTTTCAAATTCGAAATTGTAATGTCTTACGACCTCTAATTATTGAAGGTACTATGCATTATTATATAAATCCTATAAAAAATAAGATAAAATTCTAAAAAGATTCCATCCGTGAAAGGAATTCTTACTTAATGGCAAAATGACGAGCAAGGTAAATATGGTACACATTTATTCGGAAAAACTGTAATCCTTTATAGAATTCCAGATTTGGAGATTATATAGACCAAATGTAATAGACTTCCCGAAATAACTTTGTAAAATTAAACATTATACAGCACTAAGTAAAGTCTACTTCACTGAAACTTTAACGATATTAGATATTGTGTAATGTCTAAACAATACATTCCTGTAATATTATGAACAATTATACTGTTATAACTATAAATATACATTTTATGAGAATTAACCCATGTAACTAATACGGTAGAAAAATAACAGAAAATGCACACCTGAACACATAAGAAGTCAGAATTGACCAATTTGTCTTTATTATAATGTTGAATTATCATACGCTCATTTATATCTAACTTTACATATTTTTTTTAATATCGTGGTTTTTCTCAATATCATTTTTTATCTTATAACTCTACTAATTTTATTGTAAAATAATGATCAAAACCAAATTATATAATATGATAATTGTTAAATTTAAAGTTGTAAATATTTAAAAAAATCCCAATTAGACAAACATAATGATACAATAAAGTAAATTTTTAAATTATTTTAAAATTTATTTTACTGCTGTCCAATTATCTAAAAATAAAATTTTGCCTTTACCATCTATCTTATTATTTAATAAGCATAGATCGTTAATTTAAAACGCTTAAAATTATATTTCTGTATTCTTTCTCTAATATCATAAGTGTAAAACTAAAAATATTTGAGAATTTAACAATCCTCATTTATTTTATTCATATTTGCAATCTTCCCCTCTCGCAAGACTTTTTTTTTTAAATGCAGTAACTAAAGACTTAATTTATATATAAATGCATAAATCAACCTACTATCTGTATAATTCTAGTAAAGTTATAATATAAAATTTTCATTAGACGAAAGTCTTATCCAAATATTCTATTGATCTTTTTTTAAACTAAATTCTCTTAATGAACATGCATATTGAAATTTAAATTGATCGTAAAGAATTGGATATGGAGTTTTATGGTTACTTAAAAGAAAATCATAAGAGGTATCCTGTATATTTTGCTCGTAGGAGTTCTTTGAAGTTATAATTTACAAAGTACATAAATGTATATTGACTGATTTTTTATCAGAAGTTTTGTTGCTGATTGATCTCATCTTCTTTCCGATTCGATTCATGTTGATCAGAAATGCTCGAAGCCCCATCGAATAGAGTCAGTACAAATTGTTCCATATTAATAGAGAAATTAGAAGGTCGAAACCTTCTCTTCGAATTTTCAGCATTTAAGTCACTGGCGTACTCGCTATATCGTTGGCGTTCGATTTGTGGCATGTTACGCCAATAAACTTCGGATGCTTTTCTGATAATGCTAGGTTTTTGTCGCTGCATATATTGACCACTCAATACCTTTGTGTATTTATCTTCAAAAACTTCGGCGAACAAACGAAAACCTGTTTCTCTATAATTAGTTCTACCGCGTCTGTACCGTGCATTGATGAGTTCACCTAAAAGATCATAGTTATAAAACAGACTTAAGTTTTGATTGACCATAATCATAAGTACACTTTGAACAGCAGGATGAGCAGCCATAGAGATACTTGCATTATGCACGTACGCACTTTATATAAGTTCAAATTCGTTGCACAGAGTTCAAAACTGGATCGAACAAAGTATACACGTATTTGATCAACAGGCACACTTTAAAACCCAATAATTTTGTATCGCAACTTATTCAGAAACAATGAATATGTTTAGCCAAGTAATTATCGAAAGAGAAAAGAACATAAAAGTTAACTGTCAAAGAAGTGAAAAAGTATTGATGAAATAAATCAACTCTCAGGATAATAACATAATTGATCCGCACAGTCATCTCCGAAAGTAACACTAGATCTTTATGCAAATCACTGCGTAGATTACCAGTTTACCTGATACAGAGTTATTATCCAATAAAATAAACTTCATTAAGTGTTTGTGTTACGTATTTTTTTTATCTAATATTTTATATAAAATAAAATTTGTTTTTTAAAATAAAATAAAACTCGCTTAAAACTAAGATAGTGAAACTAGAATCTATTTTAATTCTTTTAGTAATGTACATACGTTGCAGTCAAAAAGCTTATGTTCTTCCTTTTGAACTGTCTTGTCCCTCTTAGAGCTCTTACTTTCATGATTTTCTGAAAAATTTTGTTTACCTCAGTTTGACATTGAATTTTAAATAGCTCAAATTCTTATCAAAGGTAATTGGCTAACATAAAACTTGTTAGTTTTTGAAATATAAACAAATCATACTCACATATTCTGATGATATTATTAATGATTAAAATAAATGTTTTGGAAATATTCATCTTAAAATTTCAAGTTCTTTAATAAAAATATCTATAATATCAAAAGATCAAGTAATTAATAATATAAATTGCAAACTTCTATCTCTTACTCAAGCTTCTCAGATCATAATAAAGATTTAAAGTATAAATCTGAGATCTAAATATTTTTCTTGAGATATCTTAGCCTGATACTTATTTAAATAAAGAACTAGTTAAATTGATCTATCTAATATTACCGATAATAAAAAAAAAGATTTTTTTGAGATTTAAATGAAACAAGAAGATTATTCCAATTAGGTAAATCCTTTTTAAAAAAAGATTTTTTTAATTCTAGATTTTTTTGATGGGTTTTGAATTATTTTTTTTCAATTATTTTCTCTTTTCTCCTTAACTTAACAATTTATTAGTTTTTGGATCAATCAATAGGAACAAGCAGTTGACAATAATCTTAATAAATTGAGGTTATTATTAATCTATTAGTGAAGTATAATATTATTTTCAAAATTTAATTTAGAATACTTATATATTAAGACAAGTTAATCACTTTGTAAAAGTCTATACCGATAATAGATTTTATTTTAATTTTTCAATAAAAGTATGCCATTTAGATATAATTGTAAATTAATAAAAAATAATTCTTTAAAGTATCTATTATTTTATAAAACCTTTATATTTAATTTTATGCAACAAAATAGAATACATATTTAATTCCCACAATATTACTACTATAGATATGGATAAATCTAAAGCAATTTTACAAATAGTACAAAATAAAGAAGATAAGATATTAAATATCTTAATTAATATAGCCAGACAGTATAATGAGAAAGGTAAAATGTGGATAGCATAGCAGTTATTTCAATAGAAAAAAGAAACAAGCATCAACAACAAACACACACCCTTATCAAAAACATTTCAGTCATAGATAGTATAATTACCAGAATATTAGAAATAGATAGAGCAACCTTTTATAAAGAACATATCCTAATACAATATATTACTTACCTTTGGCAATAAGGTAATAGAAGAGAAGAAAATTTACAAAAATAGTATTAAGAAGATAAATATTTAAATATTGTTAAAGAAAATAACAACAAGGAAAAACAAAACAATTGTCAACCTATGAAAATTATTATAAACTTAAAAAATGAACAAATATTAGAAACTGAGACAACAATTCATAGAAACCAGAAGGAAGATTTAATAATAAAAAAAATTTGAGAAAAAGTACAAGGTCCAAGCATTGTAAAACTCAATACTTACTTTACTAGAAATTATCAAGAAGTGGCAACAAACAATCCTTATTATCTAAATAAAAAGAGAACTTATAAAATTGATACCATAATAACTAATATCTTAGGAGATACTAAAGAAAAAACAATTACATATATGAATTATCTGTTAAAATTACCAGCATGTCAAAGAAACCTTCTACATATAGAATTTCTAAATAATAATAAATAGTTGACCTTCTATGTTAATGAAGAATAAGATCTATTAAAATACATAGAAGAAATAAACTACAAGGAAGAAAACTTTAGCATCCAACAACTAAACTCTAATGTGAAAGAAAAGAATACACAACTTAAAAAAATCAAATCAACTAAATGATAAAAAGAAATTTTTTAAAAAGCTGATACTGGAAGAAAGTGAGAAGATATTTTATATTAGTTTGATAGATATAGATAAAAAAACAAACTGATTTCAACTAAAAAAATATCTTAAAAGATATAGTGAAATCAAGAATCTAAATATATATAGCTATTCAAATACAAATATATTAATACCAACTTGAAGAATATTTGGATGACTTCTATAGGAACAGAAATGGCAAGAATAATCTTTATCAAAACAGAGCTATCAGATAGAAATATCAATGACATTATAATATAATGAAATACTTACTTTGCAAGATTCTTTGGAACAAACAAAACATATTAAAACTTGGTAATTGGAGTAATAGGAGGAACAAAAGCCAAAGCTTGTTATATACCAAGAGACTACTGTACTTTGAAAAAATGCAACTTTACAGTAGTATGTTTTGAAAGCAAAGAATATCTAAACAAAGCATACAAACAATATGTTTTTCTACAAGAGTTATGATTATTATGGAGTACAAAATATATCAAAGATTATATAATCTCCTCAAGAGATTTAGATATGAAAGAATAGAACAGATCAATTAATAAAATATCAAAAGAAACCCAGAAAAGAATTATAGAAATTGACAATGTTTCAGATTCTGATCTGGCATCTATTAGCTTAAGAGAATCCATAGACAAAGAAAATAAAGAAAGAAGAAAACAAAGTATTAAACTTCCAAAAGATTTGTTACTTGATACCCAGCTACTGAAAGCAATGAATATCATTAAACTTTCAAAAGAAAAGACAGTAAAATAGATATAGAAAAAACTCCAAAGGCAATATTAGTAGCAAACACAATAGTATACAGTAAGAACTACTACAACTGATTCTAGAAAATCTAGAAAAACTCAATAATCGAATATATAAACTAGAAACAAAAAACTATCCATTCTTCAAAATAAGAGGTGAAAGGGAAGAAAATCACTCCTAAAAGGTGTATCAGTTGAAACAACTTATTCGGAAGGTAGTGAGTTCTTCTATTCTTTTTATAATACACTCAAAAATAGGATCAGACAACACGAATAAAGACAATAGAAATAAAGTAACAGCAACAAGAAGAATTAGATATATTTATAAAGAAACAAAAAATAATATTCCAAAATAAAGGCAAAAATAAATAAGAAATATAGAAACAAAGATAGATAATATAGATAATATAGGTATAATAGAAAATAAAGTAATTTGAATAGGCTTCTACAATATAAGAGACATAACAAATACAACAAAACAACAAAACCCTATTAGAAGAAATAGAAGAACAAGAAATAGGTATTATAGGACTAAGTAAAACAAATCTCACTTCCACTAATAGCAAATGGATCTTCAAGAATCAATTCTTTTATAAATACTATTTCAGTGTAAATGAGAAGACCCTATATAGAGCAGAAGTCAACTTGCTAATAAGAAAAGATCTAGAAAAGAAAATATATTAATTGAAAAATAGGAAGGATATATGATAGTAGCCAAATTCTAGATAAAAAGAAATAAAACATGTATAGTACAGATTTATCTACCAAATAATAAGAAAAAAAGTCAAGAGTATCAAAATAAAGTCAAGAAACTAATTCAAGAAAAACTAGAAAAAAGGTTTCATCTAATTATAATAAGAGACTTTAATGCAGTATATAATTATATAGAAGATAGAACATCAATATCCAAGGTAACATTTAGATCATCTTGAAAATCAGAAATTTACTTTTTACTTTTTTTGAATATAGAGACTTTATTGATATACAGGCAATTTGGGAAGGGAAAAACAAATCATCTATCAGACAAAACACCATAAACAAGAGTAGAATTGATTATTTGTGGATGTTCCAGAGTATGACGCAATTCTCAATAATTCTATTCAAAAATAAGAATATATCAGACACATCAGGAAGTGATAATTGATGTTAACAGTTATACTGCAAGATAAGAATCTCTTTTTGAAAAGCAAGATCCCTAATCAATCCAACAAGATATCAAAGTAATAGATATCAAAAAATCTATAAAAGAACAATAGAAAAAGTATCAAAAAAGTGTGAATCACAAATTCAAAACAAAATTGATGCCAATACTAAAACAAAACATTAATAGAATTATGGATAATTCAAATATGAGAATGTTTTGAAAATCAGCTAACATCAGCAGCCTTCTCCAAATTGGCAATTAAGAAAATAAGATCAAATCAAAAATGAAAGTACCAACCAAGACCTGAATTCATTAAATATAAAAAAACTATTAAACTCAACACACTATTTAAAAAAGCAAAGCTGATCAAAGCACATGAAGACATATAGACCCTCAATATAGTAGTACAAGTATATAACAAAAAACATTACCTTGGACTTCAGATTGAAAACTTATGTCTATAATATAGTATATAAAACATGCTTTGATTAGAAATTCAAAAAGAAATTCAAGATACAATTGATACACTCAAAACAGTTTACCAAAACAACGGAAGTAAAAAAGACAAAACCAAAAAAGTATTAGAATAAAGATATAATAATCTTAGAAACAACTAATAAAAAATGGTCAACTTAATCTTAGATAGGGAAAGAGTAAAATAGTCTTAGATAAAGTTAAAACTATAAACAATAGACAAGAATACATTACAATAAACAAAGCAGCAAAAAA